ATATAAATGGTCTCTTCTCTCATTTTGATAGTGTTTTAGCAAGTTTTGCCTAATGCTTGACTGGCTGTCTTATTATAGGCTTAGATTAAAAAAAAAAAAATCACAAGCTTTCCACTTTGTATATGTTAAATTTGAAATGTCTCTTAGGCATCCAAACCAAAATATTTGTGTCAACCTCACTACTTCTTCCTACAGTCTTAACTAGCTCTATGACACTGATTTTTGCTTCTTTTCTTTTTAATATACAGCTAGCATTATTTAAAGTCTCATTTATCATCTCTTCTATTACTCAATACTGCCATTCTTTATCACCCACACATGATAAAGTTGTACCTAGCCATCAAAATTATATCACCTTAGGCAACTCTGATGTTGCTCAAGTTAAAGTAAAAACTTTCCATGTAAATGTTTGCTTTCACTGGATGAGATAAGGAATATACTGATGCATCTTGCCTATAAAAGTAATTTCCATTCTGCTACGAAGGAAAAAAGCCTTGCCCTGAATATTGGGAAGTGACAATCAAACCCAATTCAGTATAACAAATAAAGTGCTATTTTAATAAAATACGTAAAATACTTTGGCCCCCTGATGCAAGGAGCTGAACTCATTGGAAAAGACCCTGATGTTGGGAAGGATTGAAGGCAATAGAAGCAGGCAGCAGAAAATGATATGGTCAGATAGCATCACTGACTCAATGGGCATGAATTTGAGCAAACTCTGGGAGACAGTGAAAGACAGGGAAGTCTGGCATGCTGCAGTCCTTGGGGTCTCTTTGTGAGTCAGACATGACTTAGTGACTGAACATCAACAACAAGATACATAGCTCTGTGAGACTACACTGTCTAGTGACAAAATTGACACTGAAGTTCAGAAGATGAAGATAAGATGCTCTTCTTCTTTCCTCAGTAGGGAGAGTTGCCCTCCTTCTCTAGGAATTATGAGCCATAAATAAGACACTACCTGTGAACTCTTTGGAGACTAGAGTGGTCAGAAAATGTTAAGAGTTAATTATCATTATTGTCTTATGTTTTTACAGTCTGAGAAAGTAAGGTTATAAATAGCTAACTATAATGAAATACGATGAAATGTGGTAATAAAAGTACAAGGGAACAGTTGTCTACCTCTGGATAACAGGACTTTCCAAGGGGCTTCTTTAGATCGCTCTGTTTTTGACAAAGCAAAATAATGGAGAGGAATCCATGATATGAGGGAGAAAAGGTGATTAAACATAGTGAAAAGTTACACTGCATGGTGAGTTGAAGAAAATCTGAGGAATCTGTCTAGTGTTGGCAAAGCTTGAGAGGAGGACTACGGTGATGGATGGTAAGCTCGAAGGATGTGGATGGGGTCAGTGAAGGGGGTCATAAATGCCTTCTATGTGACTTTAACCTTTGTCCTTTAAGCAACAGAGCAGTTGTGAAGAGTTTCACATGGTTTTTCATATCTTCAAATATGTATTTAGAAAAAAATAGTTTGTGTGACATCACATCAAATGGATAGGCTAATAGAATATACACAGAGAAAAAATATAATTGATGTTGTAATACTGTCGTTTCCCCAAAATAGGCAACACACTCCTGAATGAAGAAAGGTGAAGTGAATGGAGAGGAGGTAGATTTTGGTGATATGTTCCAGGTACAGTCAAGGAGAATTAGGAAGATTTAGTAGAGACGTGGATGGACCTAGAGTCTGTCATACAGAATGAAGAAAGTCAGAAAGAGACAAACACATGTCGTATATTAGCACATACATGTGGGATCTAGAAAATGGTACAGATGAACCTATTTCCAGGGCAGGCATAGAGATGCCAATGTAGAGAATGATCGTGCGACTCAGGGGGGAAAGTGGGGGGGGACGGACTGGGAGAGTGGCGCTGATGTGCGTGCGCTGCCACGTGTGAAACAGCGGGAACCTGCAGTACAGCCCGGGGCTGACCCAGAGGGCCAGGCTGGGGAGCGCAGGGCCACGGGGGAGGGCGCGTGTCCACATGCAGCTGATGTGCACTGTTGTGTGGGAGGAGCTCACACGACATCGTAAAGCACCTGCAATAAGAAAAAAGACTCAGTGACTGATCTGATGTCGGGGAAATGGAAGAGAGAGGAGTGAGACTTGATACTTTTTAGGAACTGGATGAGGGATGGATGGTCGAGATGTTCACAGAGACAGGGTGAAGATAAAGTGATTTGTTCACATGTTAGAGTTTGAGGTATTTACATATGGTATATACATGTATCTACTATTAAACAGTTGCAAGTGCAGCCAGATTATAGTGGAACTACCCAGGAGATCAATTGAACAGAATTCTTATGAAGATGAGTGTATATTAACATCTGTAAAAGCCTTGAAGTGAAATGAAAGTGAAAGTCGCTCAGTTGTGTCTGACTCTTTGCGACCCCATGGACTATACAGACCATGGAATTCTCCAGGCCAGAATACTGGAGTAGGTAGCTATTCCCTTCTCCAGGGGATCTTCCCAACGCAGGGATCAAACCCAGGTCTCCTGCATTGCAGGAGGATTCTTTACCAGCTGAGTCACAAGGGAAGCCCAAGAAAATTGGAGTGGGTAGCCAATCCCTTCTCCAGAGGATCTTCCTGACCCAGGAATTGAACTGGGGTCTTCTGCACTGCAGGCAGATTCTTTACCAACTGAGCTATCAGGGAAGCCCCTTATCAGTATAAAATAAACCATTTTCTCTAAAAGACACTGACCTTGGTTTCAACCTTAGGGTGACATCAGGATATTTCACAGATAGTTCAATTATAAATTTATCTAGAGTTACAAACCAAAAAATGGAAACTTAGACTGAAAAAAAAAAACAACAACAGCTAATTCAAGGAATGTTAGAATACTATGAAAAGTCCCATTTAAATGAGGAACTGCTAGTAAAATAAACATGAAAATCCTAACCAGTATTATTTATTATAAAATATATAGTCACTACCAAGACTCTTTAACTATATTACTAGCTGAAAAATGTAATAATTCTAAAGGGATAATTCTAAAGTCTTCTGGAATTTTAGTGCTGAAGAAGACTCTTGAGACTCCCTTGGACAGCAAGGAGATGAAACCAGTCAGTCCTAACTCAGAATATTCATTGGAAGAACTGATGCTGAAGCTCTAGTACTTTGGCCACGAGATGATAAGAACCTACTCGCTGGAAAAGACCCTGATGCTGAGAAAGATTGAAGACAAAAGGGGAGACAAAAGATTGAAGACAACCGAGAGAATGAGATGGTTAGATTGCATGACCAACTCAATGAAGATGGCTTTGAGCAAACTCTGAGAGGCCGTGGAGGACAGAAGAACCTGGTGTGCTACAAAGAGTCAGGCAAGACTCAGAGATGTAGCCACAGCGACAAGCTCTGATCGGTCAATGGAGAAAGGTCTCTATGAAAGAACGCGGCATATTTAGAATCTTTGTTTTCCCTCAAGCATTGATGGTCAGTCCAACTATCAGATCACCAGAATTGGGGCGGTGGGGGGAGACTTCATTTTCAAGATGGCCTAAAGATACAGAAGGAAATGGCAACCCACTCCAGTGTTCTTGCCTTGAGAACCCCAGGGACGGGGCAGCCTCCTGGGCTGCCGTCTATCGGGTCACACAGAGTTGGACACAACTGAAGCGACTTAGCAGCAGCAGCAGCAAAGATATAGACCTTTATGGATTTCCCAGATTGTTCAATTTGTTAATGTTTAAATACCTTAAACTTGTGATTAGTCAGTTATTTTGATATGCTCTAAAGTACTCTGTAGTGTTTGATAGCAATTAATTAAAATAATCAATCAAATGAACTGTTTCCAACCTAAGTGAGGGGCTTCTGAAAAATAATCTAAAGATACAATTATTTCTGCACCAGGTTTAAATTAATGCTATACTCTATGTGGAAAATACATATTCTAGAGCTTATGAGTATTAATGATCTCATTTAGACATTTGATATGTTTACTGTGAGAGAGATCTTGCCGCATAAATCAATTTTTATATGAAACTGCCATAAGATGGTATGTACTTTTTTTTACTTCTTGGTAGAAAGAAATTTGAAATTCAAATCACTAGCTGCTGAAGCGAGTTATTAAAAATGCATTAGGATTGAAAATGTAGCTGTATATAATTGTCATAACAGATATTCAAAACAAATTTATCCTCAATGAAAACTGAGCTAAAGCAATTTACATAGAATCAGCTAATAAATTTTCCTTAATTTCCTAAGCAGATGAAAAAGAAACAGTTTACAGAAATTTTAATAAAGTAAATATGAGTGCAGCCTGTGGGGAGGAAAATATAAATAAAGTCCCTTAGAAGGATGAATGAAGATAGACCTATGTGAAGTTCCCATTCTACATGTTGCAAGAAAAGCAATGCTCATTTTGGGACCAGTCTTCTTTCTAAATCCCCGACAACCTGACATTGAAAACATCATCTTATTCCATCCACTGTACTCCTATTGGACTTGTCAGTATTTAACTATATGTAAATATCCAAGAGAATTGGGGAAAAGATGAAAATGTCCTTACAAAGACTAGCCACCTATAAATAGAGCATATCCTTAACTCTAGAAGCCAAAGCATCGGGAAATGTGAAAGCAGCACTGTGTACAATGTGGTGTCTTGAAGGTTTTCACTTTGATTCGTGAAGAAATGGCTTAATGCTTAAATGAGCACCTCCCGGGCACTAATGTGAAGAATAATCATCGGTGTGGATCCTCCTGAAACCCCTCCAGAAGTTCCCAGAGTGATATTCACTTATTCAGGTTAAGCAATTGTATCCACTTGTGTATTTACTCATTCATTCATTCATCCTCCTATAATCCTTTAGTTTGAAGACATCTCAGTTTCTTGAACAGAAGTTTCCATGGACACACACCTTGGTTCCTGCAGCAGTCACAATTAATCCATGGTCATTTATTAATTGTCTCATAATATCTGAGTGCTAGTGCTAGTCATTCAGAGAAGACTCATAGAAATGGAATACAAAATGTTGGTTTGATGTAGGATAAGATGAAGGGGGGCTATGTCCAAGGCTGGATGCACTTGACTGACAGAGGTGGAGATCAGCAAGAAAGGCTATGGGTAAAGACTTCTGGATAGAGAGAATTTGTGAAGTTGTGCTCTCGAAATAATAGGGAACTTGCAGAGTTAGACTTTATCTTTGTAATATTTGAGTCAAGGCCAGTTGAAATTTTGCAGCATCTAAGTAATCTTCAGTAATGATCTGAAGTTCTGTGTGGTTTAAGGAAGTCTTAGAAAAGCAACCACTCAGTCATCAGGATTTGTTTACTACCTACTGGTCCATGAGAGTCATCTCTTCACTGAGAAATATGGAATCACACTCTTAGAAAATACCTGTAAGAGTATTCTGGGCTTGATTTAGAGTATGAAGCCGTAGGATTTATGTTAGGAAAATTACTGTCTTTGTTCACTTTTTTAAACTACTCACTTGTGTGTAGGCGGTCATCCACAGTGGTACTACATCAGGGGAAAGCATAGTGTGATTTAAACAGTGTCTTTCTCTCACTTTCCTATCTGTAAAATGCAAATAATATTATAGCTCAGAAAGTGAGATGACAATTTCATGTAAGATGATGTGTAAATGTAAAACAGTTATGGTTATACAAGTCATTTCTGCCTCAGATTTTGCATCTTTGAAACCAGGGACATTTTTCATACCAACTTTAGAAAAATTCTGAGACCAATTTGCATGATAAAGTAATTTGTAGTTTCAAACAAGCCATTTTCCATGGTAAATCAGATAGTAATTTGAGAAAGAATATTCAACAGCGTGATTTTGTTATGACATTGTTTCCATAATTTCTGAAGCATTTTTACACACATTTAATGGATTTAGAGCCAATGCCCTTAATTATTATTTCAGAATATCATCAATACATCTGGAGTTTTTAAAAATTTCTTTTTACCCATTAACAAAATCTCCTTAATTGTGTAATATCTGACAGATGCAGCAGGAGAAATGATAATTGCATAATGTTCACTGAGGATAAATTGTTTTTCTACCATTAATGGAACATAATATATTATATTTCAAGTAATGAATGCATATTTATTTACAACTTACAGTTTGAAGGATGTTTCAGTGAGACTTTATTCTTGAATTATTACTTTGTACCTTGCTATAAATATCTATATAGCATCTTTTATTTTATAAATAATGGTGTTTAATATTTGTTTCAAATTTATATAAAATTTTAAAAATTATAAATCCTTGTTACATCTAGTACTTCAGTAACCAAAGGTAAAATTTTAATTGCCCATGAAACAGTCTTAAGTTACCGACCAATAATAGCCTCTAACCTGATTTTACTTAGAGAACATATTCTTAGTTTAGGGAACCATAGGCTTTGAGAGTCAGTGAAATTCTTGTTTTGATGATAATTATTGTATTTGTTAAATTATGTGTAAAAATTCTTTTCATACATAATTTGATGTCTGTCCTGAAGAGGTGATTGAATTCCTTATATACAATATTCAGGGAAATTAATGGTTTTCCCCCATTTATTTGGAGACAGAGAAAGAGAGAGATTGTTAAGTGTTATGCAACTATTCTTCCCCTACTTTTCCTTTGAAACAAGTTAATCATAGAAATCCGGGTACTATAAAATTAAAATTTAATCAGATTTGCAGTAGCCTGTAATTCTCCACTAATCCTTTTACCCTTTCATAAAAAGGTTTTCTTGGTTTAGTGGGAATTGTCCTAATCCTGGAGCTCCCATGAAGTCCTCCTAGTCTTAGAGCTGGTACAGCCGCCTCGCTGATGGTGGACCTAAAAGCCAACTTTGCTCTCTTTTTTTCCGGTTCCACCTTGCAAGTAAACTCATGAGGTCAGACGCATTATTGTCCCCAAAGCTTGGATATTTTATGCACTTTAATCACATTCAAACAATAATTGGAATGTTGCTTTCACTTTAATGGCAACCCACTCTAGTGGGTTGCCTAGGAGCCTAGGAAATTCCATGGACAGCGGAGTCTACAGTCCATGGGGTTGCAGAAAGTTGGACATGGCTTAGCAACTAAACAACTAAAACAGTGATCATACTCTTTTCCACTCTGTGTCTTTAGAAACATAATTGTTCCCATTAGCTATATTAGGAGTTATCACATACTAGGCCATAGAGAGTTGAGCAGAAGACTAACTCAGAGCACTGGGAAGTTGTAATTGTCATATAATTAATAGCAGTTGACCTGCTAGAATTTCACATATCATTCAGTTGACTTTCTATAGGAAGTTGATTTCCCTTCCTCCCTCCTTTCCTCTCTCCCTCCCTTTCTTCCCTTTCCTTCCTTCCTTCCTTGTTTCTGTTTTTCTAGTGTGATAGAACTCAGCTGCAAAGATTGATTTAATTGCTATCATCATTCATCGCTATAATATTTGATTAATCAATCTATTTTAATCTCATTCCTTAATCCCACTCATCTCTCCACTTCCTTTATCATTATAATGAGTTTGATGGGAAACTTTTTGTGAATCTTATAAGTGTATACTGTTGATTTCTTGAACATGTCCTGCTTTGTAAATTCACTTAAGTAATATTGTATTATAATTTATTGTGTTTCTTATTTTTAATTCTTGCTGCATTATGACTTTTAAGACCTATTTGTTAGTTGCTTCTGTTACATTGTACTCCATAGTTTACATCCATTGTATTTTACCTCTCCATTTTTCCCAGTGATAGAAACTAGATAGCTACCTACTGCTCATTACCTCAGACTGTGCAGTAATTAAGATTTTGGTTCTGTGTCTTTATGACCTAAGGCAAGCAATTTTCTGGGATATATAAAAAGAATGAGATCATTGTGTTGAGTGTGGGAGTGCCTGAATATGTCCAACCAGATGAATTTCCAGAAAGCATCTCCACTCATATATATATCTACTGGATGCATGATGGTTCTGTATTCTCACATTTTCATTGACACCTACTATTATTCATTAAGTTTTCCCAATTTGATGAGTGTGAAGTGATACTCAATTGTGTTTGAACATAATGTTTCTCTTTTGCCAATGAATTTGAGAACTTCTTCCTGTGCATAATTGTGTTCCAAATTTATTCTTCTGTGAACTATTTGGTCCATGTCATACTGGGATCCCTTTATTTTTCTGGCTGTTTTATGAGGTTTTCTTGTCTATTCTAAACACTAATCTTACTTCAGTTTTAGATGTTATAAATAAATTCTCACGTCTGTCAACTGTCTATTCACTTTATGGAGTCCAGCATTAAACAGAAATCTGCAATCTTGGACATATTCAAATTTGTCATGAGTTGGGCTTCAGCAGCTTTCTTTAAGAAATACTTCCCTACACCATACATCACAAAGGTATCATCCAACATTTTATTCAATTAGGATTATAGTTTTGTCTTTCATCTATCTGCTGTCCAGATCTTATATGAAGTTAGGGACTCCATTTTTTTTTTATTCTTTGGGGCCCCGTTTTTCCCCGTTTTTTTTTTTTTTTTTTTTTTTTTTTAATTTATTTTAATTGGTTGGAGGCATGTGTTTCACAGTGCTTCCCAGGAGATGATACTCACACACATACGTTTTTCTCTGATTTCTCTACTCTGTACTGCCTGCATGTTTGTTCTTGGACCACTAACATGCCACTTGTCTTAAATTGCCGCCAGATCACATGATGTTATAGCATTTGTTAAAGCAGTTGTTTCCCGAACACGGTAGTTCTTACTTTATAAAGGCACCTTAGCAGTTTACGTAAGGGCTTGGAGTATGCTTTTCTTACTTTGGGCTTCCCTGGTAGCTCAGACAGTAGAGAATCTTCCTGCGATGCAGGAGCTCTGGGTTCCAATCCTCTAGAGAAGGGAATGGCACCCCACTCCAGTATTCTTGCCTGGATAATTCCATGGCATTCCATGGCATTCCATTCCATGACTATCCTGGTGGGCTACAGTCCATGGGGCCACAAAGAGTCGGACACAACTGAGCAGCTAACACTTTCACTTCACTTTAGCTTCTCTCTTTAAGTTTTCAGTTTTTCTCCAACAAAATCCCTAGGTGCTTTACAGTTTTTCTTGTTATAGTGAAGGTAATTTTTTCTAATTAACAGTTGTTAGTGTATACAGATCCTGCTGGTCTCTTACATTGACTATATTTGATAACTGCCATATACTTGTGTTATTTTAATAGTTTTTTTCCTATTAATGCTGTTAGTATTTACATATCAGTGATCATATTGTCTGCAAATATGGCTAGTTCTGTCTCCTCCTTTCTTAGTCCTTTTCTTACCTTCCTGCCGAGAACCTGTGCTACCTGACCAAGAGTACCTTTGCCGTGCTTCCAGTAGTGAAGGGACTGAGTCTAGTACTTGTGCATAAAGTAAAATCAGTTTTGGTGAATCAATTTTAAATAAAATCCCTTTCTATACTTCATATATTTAGGGTTTTTTCTCATAAAGGTATTGAACTGTATCAATGATATTTTTTTTTTTAGCCTGCTGAGGTAACCATGTTATTTTCTTCATGGAGTCTATCAAATTTTGAGAACTATGTTTAGACACTTTCTGATGTTAGCTATGCTTTAGGTGACTCAAAGTAAATACAGACATGTTCTTTGGTTCTTAGGAAACTAATATCTTACTAGAGAAATGGGTCTATGTACACATTTTTTTGGTCATTTTATTCCTGTCATTTTACCTTCATTCAAGACAACTGACTTTAAAGCACAAATTGGCTGTCCAAATTCAAATAACACTGTGTAATCATCTTGGAGAAGACTCTTGAAAGTCCCTTGGACTGCAAGGAGATCCAGCCAGTCCATCCTAAAGGAGATCAGTCCTGGGTGTTCATTGGAAGGACTGATGTTGAAGCTGAAACTCCAGCATTTTGGCCACCTGATGAGAAGAACTGACTCATTTGAAAAGACCCTGATCCTGGGAGGGATTGGGGGCAGGAGGAGAAGGGGACGACAGAGGATGAGATGGTTGGATAGTATCATTGACTCAATGGACATGAGTTTGAGTAAACTCTGGGAGTTGNTGTACTCTGCATATAAGTTAAATAAGCAGGGTGACAATATACAGCCTTGACGTACTCCTTTTCCTATTTGGA